GTATTAAGAAATTGATTTGCTCATATAGCCATCTGGTTATAGGTTCAACCTTTAGGTCAACTTCAAATGGTTGACATTTATCTTGCATTGTCTGTCTTCTGCTTATCACTAGATGGCCCCTGAATGTTACAGAGACACCCACATAAATCTCCACCGCTGTATTAGTTAATCAGTGATACCACACCAAGAACTTTTGTCAGCTCAAAGTGTGCCATTGGGCAGGAGACCTGGGTGAGAGGGTAAGGGGATTGCTGCCTCCATGTGAGAAATGGAGTTTGGATTCCCAACACTCACATAAATGTCAGGCTCAGCTGGCAGCCATCATAAATTCTAGCACTCAGGATAGAGCAGAGGAACAAGCTGGTTAGATGCATTGATCAAATCGGTGAGCTCTGAGTTCAACAGAGAGACCCTGTCTCAATGAATACAGAGCAATTTAGAAAGACTCCTGACATCCACCTCTGGCCTACACATGCATGCCTACACACATACAAGTGCATCCCCATATATGCAAACAGGCATTGATACACATGTGATGTAAGAAATCCTTCTGTAAATGTGTTGCTTTTATTGGTTAACGAATAAAGACACTGCCCTTGGCCTGTTGATAGGGCAGAGTAGAACGAGGTGGGAAAAACTATATTGAATGCTGGGAGAAAGAAGGTGGAATCAGGAGATGCCATGTAGCTCTGCCAGAGATAGACATTGGAACTTTACTCGGTAAGTCACAGCCTCGTAGTGATTCACAGCTTAATGGAGATGGGTTAATTTAAGATGAGTTAGCCAGAAATATGCTTAATCTATTGGCCAAACAGTTTTGCAAATCATATGGTTTCTGTGTGATTATTCAGGGCTGAGCAGCCAGGAACAAACAAGCAACTCTACTACACACATTCACACCATACATATACACATGCAAAATAAATAAGTAAGCAAATAAATAAGTAAATGTGCATGAATATATAGAACATTTCTTTTACCGTTTCCTTTGATTCTTGTAACACGAAGGCAATGACGCTCAAATTCAAAGATTGCGGGGCCAGTGAGTGGGTCCATTGCTTACAGCATGTTTAGAGTGGGCACAATAAATGTAATTGCTACTATGGTTATTCTTTCACAAGTACTATTTGCTCAGTAGACAGTTATTAGAACATGTGAGGTGTTAGACAATGTACTAAATGCTGATGACAAAAGCTTCTTGTCCATTAGAGAAGGCAGATTACTTTGGCAAGGGAAGTAACTAATTAGCAATGCGAGATTTGGGTATTGGCAGTCAGTCACTGGATAACAATCAATCAATAACAACATCCTAAGGAACATGGCTAGTGCCAGGTCTCAGGAGGGATAAAACCTAAGTGTGAACTGATCAGTCAATACACCACCATGAACACAAAGGACCAGAGGCTCAGAGATGAAGCAGAGGCTAACACTGCTAAGTGAGAGCATTGTGTCCCACCTCAAGGGGAAGGTATCAGTGTTAAGTTCCATGCAGGATCTCTTCTGGTGCTCTAGTCATGAAGGGATCCAGGGAAGGGAAATCCTGCCCCTTATATGTGAAAGGGTGGAGTGGGCAAGGACATAGGAGAGGATGCAGACAGGTGTGTGGGTCTAAAATGTGAGATGGCAAGGGGCTCTGAAAGGAACTAGACAGCTGTCTATGGTGCTTTGCTTCTATCCCTGGGGTAAGGAACAGGCATGGGCAGAAGGCTGGAGGGAGGGGTTGCAATCACAGAGCACTGTGACAAGAATTAGCACCTCACCTCTGGGTACAAATGGCCAGAAGTGGGGACACAAGAAAAGAAGGACAGAAGCAGGAGATGTTTGGAGGAGGGAAGGCCAACCCGGAATTCAGGCAGCATCATTCCATGGCCCAGAGTCCTGGAGAAATAACCAGGAAAAGAAGGAGGAAGCAAGCAGAGTACCAGAATTCACTCTCTCTGCTTCCTGACTGTGGATGAGCCGTGACCAGCAACCTCATGTTTCTACTGCCATGCCTTCCCTACCATGATGGACTGTATCCCTTCAAACCGCAAGCCAAAATAAACTCTTCCTTCTACCCTGCTTTTTGTCATAGCAACAAGGAAAGTAATGGATACATTGTTAATCTGCGGCTCAGCTCTGTCACCAGGAATCTTCAACTGCAAGTTCCCAGCTTCCCTTGCCTTTCACCATGCCCCCCTCCCCATCACCACCTCAATTTCATTCTCCGTAGATACCAGCTGCACGCCAGATACAGAATCAGGTGCCAGGAAGCACACACTCAGTGTGGAATTGTATTTTCTGATGACCCTATGACATTTCCTTCTTTTAAATTTAAAACAGAGAAAGGGTGTTTTCGCCAGTAGAGAGAACTGTTTTTCCAGACAGGGATCATGTTGGAGTTGGAAGCCAAGTCAGCATGGCCCGAGGGCCTTACCTTGCTGGCAGTCTCTGCTGAGGACACACTGTCTTTGGGGGCTGAACCCAGAGCCTCATCGGTTATGTGGGTGCTTTGAGCTAGAGCGTGCCATGAGGTGAATTTGCTGTGGAAAACCTTTGGGTTTAGACCCCCCCCCCCCCGTCTCCATGCTACATCATGCTTACACGTGGATCTTTTCATGCATCTGGTCAATAGTTTATTCTCAAGAATGTGAAGTCATTGTTGGCTGGGGAACCTTTGGCATTTGCTCTCTTAGATCCTGTGTGAGCATTAGCTGTCTAGATTCCTTGAGTCCTTGGGGCTCAGGGTTCATTTCTGAGCTGGCAGGTGTAGGAGAATGGAACTCTGGGTAAATCTGGGGATGTGAGGAAGCCTCTTCCAGACTTTCCTGTGAGGGTGTCATAATTTATAAACATGCTATTTGTCTGTTGCGTGCATTTTCTAGAATGCCTTCTGTCCCTTTTAACTTATTTTCCTTCCTCCCTACAATCTTAGCCACCCTGGAAGGGGCTGTGTGTGTGACTAAGATGATCTCTTGAAGAGCCTTTGGAGACTCTGATCTCTGTGGCACTTGCTGGGAGCAAGGCCCTAATTTTAGAGCTACACACAGGCATACTATAGGTGGGTTTGAATACACCTTCCCAGTGGGTTGTGATTGGTAGCCCTGCTGTGATCTGATCTATATATAGTGGGATATCTCCAACTGCCTCCTCCCACAGTTCACACCTCCTACTGCTTCCTCCTCACAGGTCACAACTCCTACTGCCTCCTCTCTACAGGTCACATCTCCCACTGCCTCCTCCTCACAGTTCACACTTCCTAGTGCCTCCTCTGCACAGTTCACACCTTCCACTGCTTCCTCCCCACAGGTCATACCTCCACTGCCTTCTCCCATAGTTCATACCTCCCACTGCCTCCTCCTCACAGGTCACATCTCTCACTGCTTCCTCCTCATAATTCACACCTCCTACTGCCTCCTCCCTACAGGTCACATCTCCCACTGCCTCATCCTCACAATTTACACCTCCTATTTCCTCCTCCTCACAGTTCATACCTCCCACTGCCTCCTCCCACAGTTCACACCTTTCACTGCCTTCTCCCTATAGGTCACATCTCCCACTGCTTCCTCCTCACAGTTCACACCTCCCACTGCCTCCTCCCCACAGGTCACACCTCCCAATGCCTCCTCCCGACAGGTCACACCTCCCACTGCTTCCCCCCACTTTTCATACCTCCACTGCCTCCTCCCCACAGTTCACACCTCCCACTGCCTTCTCCCCAAAGTTCACACCTTCCACTGCTCCCCCCCACAGATCACATCTCCCACTGCCTCCTCCCCACAGTTCACACCTCCACTGCCTCCTCCCCACAGTTCACACCTCCCACTGCTCTCCCTGCACAGTTCAGTGGCATACTCTTTAGTCACAGCCAAGGTCGTAAAAGGTCAGAGCAGCTGCAGTCCCCTTGGGAGCCAGGGCCTTTCTCCTTCAGTGCAGAGATAACAGCTGAGGCTCTGCTTCAAGTTCACCATAGGGCCAACCAGAATGCTTAATTTTCCTGGGGATAAAAGAGAAGGGGACTCAGAAGAGGAGGGAGATGAGGAGGTGAAAGAGAGAGAAAAGGAGAGGAAGAGGGAGGAGGGGGGCAGAGAGAGTACACACACACATGTATATGTACATATATATCTTTATATCTATTTCTTTATCCATATCTGTATCTATAGCTATGTATCTACACACACACACATACACACATATACATACATATTAAATGAGAAAAGATGGTCTACAGCTATAGAAGGTGGAGATTATTAAAACTGAGTTCAAGGTAATGTCCCTGAGTTCTGAGAGCTTCACAGTTTTCCAATCCCATAGGACTTTGGAGTCAGTCAGTGGTACAGGTTGCTCTGGATCTGGGGACATGGATGATGCCCTCTGTCCCAGGATCAATAAGAGAGCTTTGGTTAGAAACTTCCTTCAACAAATGCTCTCCGGTTCCCATGATTACCTCCCAAGTCAAGAGGAAGATCCTCCTTGCTAGGGGTGCTCCCCTCCAGCAAGGCTGAAAGGGATTTCACACCCCAGCAGACTTTATGGGGCGGGTAGTGCAGATGAATGGCCCTCTTCTCTAAGACAGAGGACTGGAAAGGGGATCCGGCTTCAAGTTCTGAACTCAGGCATCTGGATCTAGTAGGACTTTCAGGTTATATTTGAATGTCTGTGGGGATTTTCTATTTCTAGTGCTTGGTAAACCAATTTCTACCTTTGCGCATTACTTGATTGACCCAGAGGCCAACTTTATCATCCACTCCTCAGTGACAGCCATCATGGCTCACTAGAAAAGAAACTGCCAAGGCTGCTTGACTCTTTTTTTTTTTTTTATCAGTTGTCTTACACTCAAATAATTTTTAGTTCCTTAAGATTCAGTCGCTCTGCCTGGCCATCTGGTCAGATCTGCTCGCTGCTGGAGAAGCATTTTTCCCATTAGCAGGTAGGTGGGGTCCAGGAATGTCCTCAATGGGAGCATCGTAACTGGGATGGAATCTTTGCCTGTGACTCAGTCCTGCAACTTGAGTCTCCTGGGAGAGGCTGTTGATTTTGGTGCTGGAAAGCATCCTAAGGAGAGCAGTCCAGGGCTCAGAGGCTCTCCGCACTGAGGAAGGCTTTCCCTGCACCCAGAACCTGGAGCAAGAGACCAGTCATCACAGGTCAGGAGTTCTGGGAAGATATCTCCTGAAAGAGATCCCTTAAGAATTTCTCTTTCTTTCTTTCTTTCTTTCTTTCTTTCTTTCTTTCTTTCTTTCTTTCTTTCTTTCTTTCTTTCTCTCTCTCTCTCTCCCTCCCTCCCTCCCTCCTTTCTTTCTTTCTCCCTCCCTCCCTCCTTCCATTCCTCCCTCCTTCCTTCCTTCCTTCCTTCCTTCCTTCCTTCCTTCCTTCCTTCCTTCCTTCCTTCCTTCCTTATTTCTTCTTTCTTTCTTTCTTTCTTTCTTTCTTTCTTTCTTTCTTTCTTTCTTCCTTCCTTCCTTCCTTTCTTCCTCCCTCCCTCCTTCCATCCCTCCCTCCCTTCTTCCTTCCTTTCTTCCTTTCTTATTTCTTCTTTCTTTCTTTCTTTCTTTCTTTCTTTCTTTCTTTCTTTCTTTCTTTCTTTCTTTCTTTCGACAGGATTTTTATCTGTGTAGTCCTGACTGCCCTGGAACTCACTCTGTAGATCAGGCTGGCCTCGAACTCACAGAGATCCTCCTGCATCTGCCTTCCAAGTGCTGGGATAAAAGGCACGCACCACCGCTGCCTGGCAAGTTTGTTTTTGAAACAGATTCTCACTGTAGCCCATGGTGTCTGGGAACTCATCATATAGACCAGTCTGACATTACATTTCTAGCCATCCTCCTGCCCTCCTTCATTGAATGCTGGGATTGTAGGCACAGACTATCACACTTACTCTCAGACTTTAGAGACTCTAAGACTTCAGAGACTAATCTGAAATAAGAAGAGACTGAGAACTGGAGGGTGAATGAAGGGATGTAGAAGAAGAAAGACAGAGAGGGGAAGAGGGGGAAATAGAGGGCAGAAGAAGGAGGAGGAAGAGGAGGAGAAGAAGAAGGAAGAGGAGGTGGTGGTGGAGGAGAAGATACAATGAAAGACACATCGAGGAAATGTAGTTTCTCAGATGCATAGCTCAGAGAAAAGCTGGCTCGTACCTCGTTCGTCGTGCGCAGTCTGGTCTGCTCAGGTCTGCGCAGGGGCAGGGAACAATTCTAGGCAGACCTTGTGGCAACCCACCCAAGCTCTAACATTCACCCTGCCTACTTGAATTCCCAGGCTTTCCTTCTCAGACATTGACAATAGACCTGGGAGCCTCTGACAGAGCCAATCCGCTAATAGGAAGCATCCCAGCTCCAAATCAGCAAGGCTCTTGGTGAAAGCATCAACTGCCAGATACAGTCTTCAAGGCCTGCAGCCAGAGCTCGTGTTTCCACCTGGCTGGTTCCCGTACATCTGGAAATGTGTGCACTATTTATTTACTTTTTGGGGGCGGGTGTTGATATAGAAGATCAGCTTTTCAGGCACTGTTATCAGTAGCAGCTCCAGACGCTTCTGGTCAGAATTACTGTCTGCAAAACCCTCCGAAAATGGCTGCAACTGTAGGCAATCACATTCATCAATCAAATCAAGCGAGGCTCAGAAAGACAACTATTAGAGGTTTCCTCGAAGCTGTGGTCCTTTAAGTTTATATGGACACATATGTATAGACTAGATGAAATTGAAGTGAGACTGTCCAGGGGAACTAAAGGGATTAATTAGAGAAATTAGGTAAGAAAGGGTGGTGGTGGAGGAAGAATAATAAGCTTAACACACACACTGATGAGAGGGAAAAAAAAACACCCTCGACATTCACAAACCTAAGTAGAAAAACATCAAGTTTTCAAATTTTAAAAGAAACTGATAAATGGTGAACATCTAGGTATTCTTTGGTTTCTAAAGAAAGAACCATTTTTCCACCCTCTCTGCTGGGCTGTGAGCTTCCTGGGTGAAAGAGCTGTGCATGATGTTTCTGAACACTCCTGTACCTGGCATGTGGGCAGACAGCAGCGATGCATGCCAGTGAGCGGCAGGATATAGGTGCACCTCACCGTTCACTCGACACAGTAGTGGGCAGGCCGAGGAAAGGCACAAGGCTTTCATGGAAGGGCTACAATGGGGGCATTAGGGCCACTCATTTTGTCTGAGCTTTTTCTTTACCTTAATTTTGTGTGTAGGGGTGCTTTGCTTGCATGGATGTGTGTGCATCACATGTGTGACTTTTTCTTTCAGAGGCTGGAAGAGGGCCTAGCATCCCCTGTTGCTCGAGTTAGAGATCTTTGTGAACTGCCATGTGGGTGCTGGGACTCAAACCCAGGTCCTCTGTAGGTGCAGCAAGAGCTCTTAGCCACTGAGCTGTCTCTCCTGCCCAGCAGGGTCACTCCTGACTATGAAGGCTGGGGTGGCTCTGCCCCTCTGTTGTATAAGATGTTCAGAGACAGAGGAACACAGGGAGGCCTGCCTTATGTGACGCTGGCTGAATGTCCAGGCCCTGCGTCTGTCATCAGTGACTGGGGTTAAGGTCGTCAGGTCCCAGCAAGGTCAAAACAGAGTAGGTTATCTTCGGTTTCTCTTTGTTGGGGTTTTTGGCACATGCAGGTATAAAGGGAACTGAGAGATGCTGCTGACTCTCCACTGCTCATGTGTCTGGCTGAGTTTCTAGTTTGGGAAATGGAGAGGGTGTTTTTCTTTCGAAAATTACATTTTTACAGACTTATGCAAATAATAGACACCCAATTGAACAATTATTTTCTAATATCTCAGAGTCATCCCAGTGGGCCTAGAGAAATAAACAGATTTAGGTTAGCTGGTTTCCGCTTTAGAAAGCTCCATCTTCCAAAGGGAGACTGAACAGGGTTGAACTGATGTGCTCACAAGTCCTGTGTCAGGGAGCAGGAAGCGCTGGGAGGGTACAGCTCTGTCTGACTCTCTGGGAATTCTCCTATCTGAATGAGGGCTGGGCCCACAGAACACACCGGGCTTGATGGACAGCTCTAGTGCAGCCCTGAGTGCACAGAGGACACCGGGATTGATGGACAGCTCTAGTGCAGCCCTGAGTGCACAGAGGACACCGGGATTGATGGGCAGCTCTAGTTAGTGCAGCCCTGAGCCAATGGCTGGAGCTCTGGATTCTTTGAAAGAGGCTCAGATGCTACTGAAGGACACAGCATCACCAGAGGAAACAGAGGACCTATAGATTCCAAGGAAGGTTGCTCCTAAAGATAGACATCAAGATCCTGACCAGTCCCAATGTCCTAGAGCTTCTAGTTCCCTTGTTCTAAAGCTTATATGCAGAGGAGTCCATGGCTTCCCACCAAGCCACCCCTAATTAAATCTGAAAACTTAAATGAAAATTACGCATGTTCAATAGGTGGTAACTGTCAATGTTGCCTGTATCTTTAAGGTTTTTTATTGTTTTGTTTTGTTTTGCTGTGGAAAAAGAGATCATGTATCAAAATCTATATTCTAGTTTGGCAAAATGTTCAGCAGGTAAAAGGGGTTTGTTGCCAAGCTCAACAGCCTGAATTTGATACTCAGGACTACATGATGGAAGGAGAGAACCGACTCCCACAGGCTGGCCTCTGGTCTCCACACAGGCACCAGCCATGGTGTGCTTACACAAACACACAACAATAAATAAATATAGAAACAATTTTTAAAAATCTGTATTTTCATTTTCCCTGTTGTTGGATTTGATTTACATTGATCCAAAGTCCAGAGTCCCTGAAAAAAAAAATCCCTCCCCTTTTTGAAATTTTATTTTTCACAAACTGGCCTGACTGAGAAACTAACCAGATTCATGTCTTCTAGAAGCAATGTGGGCCATAGCCCCAGGGGTGTATTAAGAGCTGCGCCCAGCTCTGCCACTGAACATCTATCCCCAGCTGCCCCCCAAGAAGGCAGAGAAACCAACACCCATGTACAGGGAGCCCTGGCTTCTGGGTGTTTTCTGAATGGGTTACCAGAATGAGATTTTCCCAGCTCTGCAGGCTCAACTGGAATGCTTTATAGTTTGGCTCTAAAGCCAGACTTTTCAACCCTGGAAAAGCAGTGACCATAATTCTTTGATAATATTTTCCTAACATCCACTAAGTACTGAGAGGAAGTTAGCAGAGAGCAATAAATTGTGGGTTCTCATTTACATAAGCCCTTCCCCTCCTGGTCCAGAGTCCCCCCACCCACCCTGAACTGTTCACTAAACTGGCAGAGTGGCCTTAGGCAAAGCCTTTCCTCTTGGCCCGTAGAGTCAAGATGGCAATAGTCAACCCCACAGGAGCATTGGAATGCTGAGCTAAGTTGTGTACCTGCAACACTGAGGACAGCCCCATGCTCTGAGGGATTGTACAGACCACTGCTTTTATTTCTCTTTTGGCCAGTGCAGTCTTTAGCCTCGGTTTTCACTGCTTGCTCCATTTTCTGGACCCAACAAACTTTTTACCTAGTCTCAAAGTCAGCTGTCCTTTCAAGTCCTGCCACAGGTCCTGGGTCCTTTGACCCCGGGCAAGGATCTGAGGCTCTTCAACTCCTCTTGTCTTTGAAGTTGAGACCCAGACACCTCTCGGTAGGGAGTGTCCTTTCACTTGTCTTTCTAAGGGCTGATTGACAATGCAAAGTCACTCATTTCTTGCCAAGGTTTTGTTTTTTAATTTCGCTTCTGGCCAGAGTTAGGGAAAAGAAATCAACCAAACAAAGGAAAATGTCCTGGCAAAGAACCTTCCTCTATGGTCAATATGAGTTCACAAGTCCTTCTTCAAATTAAACAAGACATGAAAAGAGGAAGACAGTAGGTGACACCTAAGTGCGTTTGCCCATAGTCTAGGCCCTGGTCCTCCTCTCAGCCTTTGTATCTTTCAGTCCCCACAACAAACACCTGTTCACTAAGCTCTGAGAACCATTAGCTTTTCTAGCCCAAAGTTCCAAACACTTGCACAATCTTCCAACAAAACAGTTCAAGGCATAAAAGCCATTTGATCAGGTCTACCACAGTGACAACCCCGCTTCTGATACCAATTTCTGGTTTTGTTATTTGTTCCTTTCCCGTTGCCGTGACAAGAACTACAACCCAAAACCACTTAGAGGAGGAAAGAGTTTGTTTGGCTTGCGCTTCCAGTCCATACATCGTCCATCACTGGTGGTGGCAGAAAGTCAAGGAAGAACTTGAAGCAGAAACCGCAGAGGAACAATGCGTGCTGGATTCCCCACCAACATACTTAGCTAGCTTTCTTATATAGCTCAGGACTTATTGCCCAAGGAATGGTGCCTCCCATAGTGGGCTCTCCTATATCAACTAGCAATCAAGCTGACCATATCTCAACATATCCACAACATATCTGATCTAGGTATTTTCTCAGTTGAGCCTTCTCTCATATGACTCTTGGCTCTGTCAAGTTGAAAATTAATGCTAAGCAGGACACCCACTGTGGTTGTTTGGATGTTTAAACCTCAGTTGGTAGAACTTTTTGGGGGAGAATTAGGAGGTGTGGCCTTATTGGAGGCAGTGTATCACTGGGGATAGGTTTTGTTTCAAAAAGCCCATGCCACCAGGAATACTGCTTCTAAGCCTCCCAGAAAATCCTGAACATACCACCCTTCCTGCTTTTAGAGAGATATCCTTATCTACTTCAAAGTCATCTTAACACCTTGGAGGTTGTGACACACATAAAGAAGTCAGAGGTTTCTCTATGAGGCTATAAAATATTCTTGAAACAACTGTTCCTTCACTTATTCAGAGAAAAGTTAATTGAAGAATTTATAGTTATTATATTAGTTTTTCTTAGTTATGATAAAAGATAAAGTAGATATAAATATTTTAACCATTTTTCTTGCTTAATAACTGTTTTGTTATATGTAATTTTAATAAGTTAAATTAACACCTTCCTTTTTATTTAAACAGAAAAAGGGAAGTGATGTGGATTTTCCCTCTGTATGATGTGGATTTTCCCTCTGTATGCTGTGATTGTCATTAATGAATAAAGAAATTGCCTTTGACCAAAACAAACAAACAAACAAACAAACAAAAGCCCATGCCAATCCCAGCAGCTCTCTCTGTCTCTTAGTTTTTGGATTAAAATGTAAGCTCTCAGCTACTGCTCTAGTGCCAGGCCTGCCTGCTTGCTGCCATGATCTCTGCCATGACAGTCATGGTTTTTAACCTTCCAGAAGGATGACTGGTATGGGACAATTCTATATTCTGTCAGTTATATTTTAAATAAACGCTGATTGGCCGATAGCCAGGCAAGAAGTATAGGTGGGAAAACCAGACAGGAAGTAGGGGTGGGGCAATGAGAACAGGAGTATTCTGGGAAGAAGGAAGCTCCTCCCCAGTCCTTCCCAGATTACAGAAAAAGGAAGATGTGATCTCCCCCGCTGAAAAAGGTACCAAGCCATGTGGCCAACACAGATAAGAATAATGGATTAATATAAGCTACAAGAGCTAATAAGAAGCCTGAGCTAATGGGACAATCAGTTTTATAACTTATGGAGACTTCTGTGATTTTCTTTGGGGGCTTACTAGCTGTTGGAACTGGGCAGTGATGTGGGAGTGTCATATATCAATCTGTTGATTTCATTGGCTGAGCAATAAAGAAACTGCTTGGCTTAGCTTAGAGCATAGATGGGAGGAGGAAACAGAATAGAATTCTGGGCGGAAGAGGAAGTGAGGTCAGACTCTGCTCTGCTCCCGGAGAGACCGGTCAGCTCTGCTGGAGCAGAGACGCCATGCTCAGCTCTCCCGGGTAGACGCGATAGCTCTGCTCTCTGAGGCACACGCGATGAAGATGGATGTAGGCTAGAATCTTCCCGGTAAGCACACCTTGGGGTGCTTACACGCATTATTAGGAATGGGCTAGTCCAGGTGCGAGAATTAGCCTGTAAGGGCTAGAGTTCATGGGCCAAGCAGTTCTTTAAATGAATACAGTTTGTGTGTTGTTATTTCAGGCATAAGCTAGCCAAGCGGCCGGGGTGTTGGGGACGCAACCCCGCCGCCGCTTCATATTTCAACAGGGCAGGACATAAACCCCAACAAGCCAGCCCTTGTGTTACAGATGACCCCCAAATTAAATATGTTCTTTTATTAGTTACCTTGGTCATGATATAATATCAAGAGCAACTAAGACAGCCTCTAAATCTAATTAGTGCTGCCCACAAGTGCATGCATGAGTGTGGAACCATCCACCAGAGCATGGGAACTCTACCAGTGGCTACATACTCAGACAAAGAATGATTCTTCCCTACCCCACAGAAGCTACCAACTGCCAATAACTCCTCAGGAAGGAGTGGGGCCTGGACAGCATCTCCCCGCCCCCTATGGCTGGAGTTTTGGCTGGCTTGAACTTGTGCAGGTAACCACAGCTGTTGCTCATGAGTGCAATAGCCATGTCATGTCCAGACAACAGCATTTTGATCTTATTCTTAAATGGCCAAGATGGAAAAATGTGGCTCAGAGGCCCCTCTAAACAGCTGGACCAACAGCAGGCTGATGACTTTGTATGTGAGGAGACTCAACTTGTGTGCCTATATTGCAGTCTACAGGAGTAGCTGCCAATTGCTGGCTAGTGTTGAGGCCAGCAATTTAGATAGGACTTTAGTAGAGATAAATACTCCCACAAGTGGCATGAAGCTGGGAGAACACCCCTATCTTGCAGGACCCCCATATGTTTTGATAAACTGTCCAGTTACTAACCCAGTGTGGTAAGAGCGAAATGAGATAAATACCAAAGTTTGCCCTTTAGTGTTGTTAAAAATCAATTGTTAGCCAAGTTGTGGAGGCTCATGCCTTTAATCCCAGCACTCGGGAGGCAGAGACAGAGGATCCATCTGCACACCAGAATTCTAAACATCCTGAGAAATTAAGATGGAAGTCTCCACACTGACTTCATTGCAGGGAACATTTGAGTATTGGGGAATCTGTGATCATGCAGGTACTTGTCTTGGTTAAGGTTTCTATTGCTGCAGAGAGACACCATGACAACAACTCTTATCAAGAAATATTTAATCGGAGTGGCTCACTTACAGTTTCAGAGGTCCAGTCCATTATCATCATAATGGGGAGCATGGAGGTAAACAGACAGACCTGGTCTAGATAAGAAGCTGAGAGTCCAACAACAGGAAGTCAACTGAGACACTGGGGAGTATCATGAGCATAGGAAACCTCAAAGCCTACCCCCACAGGGACACACTTCCTCCAACACCACCATACCAACTTCAACATAGCCACACCTCCTAATAGCGCTACTCACTATGCTTTTTAGACAAGCTATAATTTCATTAGGTATGCATTAACCCACATTGTAACTGGATTTAGTTGTTGCCCTTGTTTTTACCAACAGGTTATTGATTTCTCACATGGTGTTCCCTTTGTTTCTTCCAGAGGAAACACAACGATGTTGTTGCCACTGTGCAAACAGCCCATGCTGTTCACACATGGTGCGTGGTTGTCCCAGATTACAGCTTTATTTGTAATCCCTGGAACCAAGAACATGGGCTGCAGAGTCTGCTGCCGAACACGAGTGGAATCCTTGTCTCACCAGCTAGGTATGTATCTTTGGGTGGCGTCTAATCTTCTCAGTAGCTCAGGTTAGTGCTGTACAAAATGAAAATGCTAAGATAGTTCAGGGCTTAATGAGGATTAATCGAGGCAGCTTCTGTAAAGCACACAGCCCAGGCCACATGAAGAATGGTGGTATTTTAAACACCCACCTTTTGGGGAATGCATGCAGAGGACCCGCCTGAGTTCGTAGATGCCCACCCTCGTCTGACTGACACTCCTAGGAACTATGGTATGAGACAAAAGGGTGATAAGTTCACTGGGAGAAGCGGAAGCCCGTGGAGCCTCTCCAAAAGTCTGATTCCCATGAATATCTCACAAAAAGGGAAGAGAAACAACTGGCCTTAGGCACTTCATTTATTGCCAACTTCTGGCTTCGCCCCACATTCTCTTGACTAAACGAGCGTGTCCCAATTTGTATGGTTGTTTTAAATGCTGATCAGCCTTCATTTTGCTTATTAATGTCAGGTGGAGTAAGCTGCCTTAACCAAATACAGGGTTCACTCCCTCCAGCCTCCTATTATAAGCTTAATCCATTCTGTTTTCCTGGTCTGTTTTCTTGCTGACATGAGTATGCCTAGCTTTCCTGCTGGGCAAGAACCTAAGGTAAGAGAAGTTGTGGCAGTGGCTGACATGGAGTGGCCAGCCCTTGCGGGGGTGAGGGCTTTCTTTCACAATTGTGTGTGGTGTGTGAGTTACTGCCAAGGTTTCCAGGGCTGTCTGTAGTGAGAAGGGGAACCTGTAAAAACACCAGTCATCTAGAGAAAGAGTGAGTCCTGGCAAGGGCTGGGAGGAGGGGCCTAATCTTCTCATGCTTGTGGCCTATAGAGGCATGGTCTCTAGGATGGGCTCAAAAACGGCGCAGTCTGGCTTGTGGCAAGCCTGGTTCAGTTTAGAATAAAACCCACATGGAGAAACGTACAGAGGAAACTATTTGGGAGCAGGAACTGGGTGTGTTTCAGACATTAAGTCTGCAGAGAAAAATCTGTAGACTTATTTTCCTTTTTTTTTCTTTTAAGAAAAAGAAAAGCAAGCGCCTGGAAATGAAGTTTGGTAGAGATCCTTTACGTGGGACATCTGCCCAGAAGAGACAAGAGACATAATAAGAAGCAATTCAAACTGTAATGCTCACCCCTAGATCCTGGGGACAAAAAGGATCACAGCTGTCGGGAACTTTACCGAGGTGCACGGAGAGGTGGTTGGCAGGCTGAGCAGGAAGGGGAAGACAACATTTATCCTGCTGGTGAACGGCTGAGCTTAATCCTCTGTATTTGTAACTTGGACCCCGTGGGCTCTCTCACATTTGCTACTGAGGAGATGACAGAAGCAACAAGGGGCGATGGTCTTTTCACCCAGCGTCTCTCCGTGTGCGTGACTGTGGTGGAAATATCCGACAGAAGTAACTTAAGGAGGGTTGCTTCCATTGCTGTAAGAATGGAACTCTGACCAAAAGCAACTTAGGGGATGGAAGGGTTCATTTGGCTTACATGCCCATGTCACTGTCCACATCACACTGCCATGTCACAGTCCATCACTGAGGGAAGTCAGGGCAGGAACTCAAGTAGGACCTTGAACCAGAAGCCATGAAGGAACGCTTTTTGCAAGTTCACTCTCTGTCTCTTGCTTTGCTAACTTTGTCATGCAGCCCAGGGCCACCTGCCCAGGCAATGGGCCACCACAGTGGACAGGACCCTCCTGATTAATAATTAAGACAACCCCCAATGTGTACACGAACCAATCTGATTTAGGCAATTCCTCAACCAAGGTTTCTCTCAGGTAACTTTCGTATGGATCAAGTTGTCAATCAAGCGAAGAAGGCCTGGGAGGAAAGATTTATTTTGCTTGTGTTCTCAGAGGGTTCGGTCCATCATGGCGGGAGAACATGCGCGAGCAGTTCAGTTCACACATGGTAGGCCTAGGAGCAGAGGAAAAGGAAACACTAGTGTCCTTTTGTTTTCTCTCCCCCTCCCTTTTATTCCATCCAGGCTCTTAGTCCATGGGATAGCCCCATCCATATTCAAACTAGGCCTTCCCTCTCCTCTAATCCTTTCTGGAAAAACCTTCTTTATTGACCTGCTCACAGATGTCCCAGGTAATTCTATATCCAATCAAGTTGACAATGACAGTGGACTAGTCCACTGCTTGTCAACTCGGCACCCAGACCCATCACTTTTAAATGGTAACATCCTACCTTTGACCACTGATGAGCTTATGTCCGTCTCATGACAAAAATATGTTCAGACCGGTGTCCGAGTCCCCATAGTTTCAAATCAGAAATGCAAGGTCAAAGTCTCTTGAGAGCCAGAGCAACTTTCAGCTGTGAGAGGCTGACAGTGAAGTTCCATATTCCCAGGAGGACCGGGAGGAATGTAGCAAAATCTCCCAGTAAGATGTTCCAGCCCCGTAGCTTCATGGCCACCTTCGGTGTGTGCAGTGTGGTGAAGAAAGCTGGAGAAGGCTCAGGCATCCTCCTCCCTGTGATCTTGCTACAGTCGTTCACATGAGCCCTCTCTTGGGTTGGTTCTGCTCATTTCCCGTGCTTTCTTTAGCAGATGGTCTGCATTCCTGGCATCTCCAACATCTTGGATTTCTGTTACGGCTTAGACTACTTACTCTCACAGCTTCACACATTGCTCTCTCAGGATGTCTCCGTGGGGGATCTAATCTTGTTACACATCGTCTGGTCTCCATAGCTTCCTTCAAATCTGGGTTTGGAAGCCTCTTTGATCCTATAACTACTGCATTCTGCCTGTCTGCAAAGCCAGTGCTGTGTGGATGATACCAGATTTAAAATGATGATGGTGACACATGTGTTAAAACAGGATGCTGGAAATGAAAACACCTGCCACACGTTTGGACCTAGAACAAAAATAACCAATTATCACAGCAGGTGCCGCAAAACTTTAAGAGCAGATTTGGCTGATCAACTTGGACAGGTGTGTGTGTGTGTGTGTATGCGTGTGTGTTTGCATGTGTGTGTTTCACCCCGTTTCTCGTCTCCCCATCTCCCCATTCTTGATTAGGCTGAGCTTCCATTGCTGCTGTGTTTGGAAGACCTCATAGTTGGTACCTGGGGAAATGGAGTTGACAAGCAGTTTCCAGCATGCCACCCCTACCTCTTCTCCTGAATTTCTGGAATAGACTCTTATTATTAATCATTACCCCAAGTGAGTCTTCTTAAAAACTAAGGCCAAAACCACTGGTTCTAAAAGGTCCAAAGAGTTTGATCAATTTACTTACAGTGTCAAATCTAATTATTTCATGTGTCACATGTTTAGTAAGTATTTTGCAACACACACACACCCTTGCGCATCTTCTGCCAGGCTGCCAGGGTTTTTCACTCTGAGTGCAAAGGTTTGGGGTGGTGGAGGACGAATTGTGGGACACGTAAATCCTGGGGCCACCTCCTGAGCTGCGTCCCACTTCACCAGGAGTAGCAGTTCCAGGAACTTGTGACCCAGTTCCCACAAGCCCCGGGTGTAAGGCTTCACCCATGCAGAGAAGAGATGAAGTGATCAGCTTCAACAGAGGGCATCAGGCTCCTGTGCCCACACAAATGATCTGCACCCACCCTTCTTGTGTGTGGGTGCATCCTTTCCTGTGTAGGTTGAAATAGAGACACCTGAGGATGTCCCTAAGGTCAGTGGCACACCTGTTTATGTAGAACACCTGCCCAGCGCAGGTGAGGGGTCCCTTCTTCCAGGGAGCTAGGCCACTCTTCCATGGCTGTGCAAACATCAGAAGACTATGGACATGAGCCTGGCTGTTCCTAACAAAAATGAAGTATAGAAAGTGGAACGCGTGACTCGGAGTTGACAAAGAACTCTCAAATATTTCCACATCCCTCCTGGCTTCTTTCACTCAGAGAAAGTGGCATCTAAATGGAAGAGTGCTAGGTGTCAAGTTCCAGGGATCTGATAATTCTCTCCTGACCCCTGTGCACAAGGCACCTATGTGTCTACTTTCCAGAACTTAAAGGTAAAATCTTATGGTCAAAGGCACTACATATTTCAGACACAGGACTTGAGCTGGATCTGACCTGGAAGCCTCCTCCCTAAGGACCAGCTCTCATTACCAGAAGGAACTGTACAAACGGGCGGTAGGGGGGCCCCATTGCAGGAAGTCCTTCAAGTCCTCTGACCTATAGCTTGGCAGTAGGGTAACCCCTTCTCAAAATTATATGCACACATACACACTCTTATAATGATGAATGCATCCATTTGTGGTCCATGAATGTTGCAGAATCCTGACAACCAGATGGTCCCTACATCTCTACTCTGTCACGCGGCAGCTCTTGTACATACCCAGTTGCCTTCTCAGTGTGCAGGCAGAGGTCTCTCTTCCAGCTGGCCCCCTTCCTGCCTCCTGTTGGCTTAATGAACCTCATTAAGAAGAGGTTAGGATGAGAAACTATGAAAAAGGAGGGACATCAAGGCAGATCACAGTACAGATCTGAGGTCCGATCTCAATTTTTTCACATTTGTGCTGCAGGCTGTCAGTAAAGCCACTCCGTCTCTTGGCCACCATTTCTTCATCTTCCCAGTGGGGAAAAAAAATCACCCACCTTGTAACACCTATGTCAGTGCTATGTGGTCCAATCTTGTGCCCCGCACATCAAAGCACTCTATAAATACTGACTAGATTGCCATAAAACTCCTGGGAGACCCCTATCAGGGTCTGTATCACAGAAAAGCCTGCAATGACCTTAGAGCTGGGTAGACAGCCAAGGACCGTCACCTCAGCTGGCTGGGGCCTGGGAACCAGCGTGAACCACACACAGCAGCTGGAGCCAAGCATGCTGAATCTAAGAGGTGTGGGAATTGGACCAGGCATTGCCAAGAGACTTGCTAATCAGCAGAGGGACGGGAATGACTCTTGGTGACAACATGGCTGTATCAGCTGACGGGGTGAGAATTCATATGGAGGCCACGAGGAGACATCCTGTAGAGATGTCTGCTTACTATCCGACCCACACATGAGTCATTCATAGATAAGGCGGCAGTTGGGGGCAGAGAGGGCCTTGGACCACTTACTGATGAAATGAAAGAGCCTTGGTTCCTCCTCGGGTGTCCTCTTGTGTGTCTTTGTTGACAAAGACAGGGTTGAGGAGCTTTAGCGATAAGATAGCAATGTCACTGTATCCCTGAGGTGGGTGGTATTCCTGAGCCAGGGCACTTCAAAGCCTGTGACAGTCAAGAGAAGCAGAGTGGGCTGTCATAGACACCATGAACATGGCCCAGGGCAATGAGAGGAGAAAGGCAGATTGCAAAGTCAGCCTCTCTCTGTGCTCATTCTGAGCATGATTTTAACCCCCCCCCCAAAACACTAGACATCACAGGTGTATTGTTTCCCCAAAGTCCCACTGTGAGGTCTTCCTTGGGAGTGGCTGACAGATGATGCCAGCTTCTTGGTCCACTCTGAGTGGGTGCTGTCTGCCCAGGCATGCTATTTCTGGAACCATCTGTCCTGGGACAATTATCTAGTCCCTTACCAATAGCCCCATCATGTAGGCCACTGTAGCTACATCAGAATGACCATGTGGGGAGGGCATCAGACTGAAGAAACAGAAGAGTTGGGTCACTTTTGCTTTTCAAGTGCAATGGCAAGGCAGACACCGTCTTCAGTGCTCAGCCTTGGGACCAGACCGCCTCTTACCAGTCCAATATCCCAGGAACCACAGAGGGTTCCCAGCAATATTGTGTTTCTGTTTTGGATGGTGGTGTTTTCGAATGTGTGCCTTGTTAACTCTCCAACTTTGCTCTCCCCTTGTGCTTTCTGAGATGCCGTCTTCCAGAAACCAAGCGTAACCAGGCAGGAGAATATGTCTTGCAAGAAGCCTTCCTTGAGTGAGTTGTGGAGCTTGCTGCTGGATACATACCTGGCTGGATCCTGGTGCCAGAGTAGCGGCCAAGCACCAGGATGCATTTTGCTTTGTAAACACTTCTTTGGTGTGCTTGATGCTTGAGTCAGTGAACTCAGAGAAAGTCGGTGCCCATCTACAACGTGGATGAGCCTTTTCCAAGTGGGAGGCTTTAAGAGCACAGACTGAGGCTTTGGTGAAGGAATCAAGTTTGCTTCTAAAGGGCAGCTTGGAAACCCTGCTTGAGTGTCTAGCCCACTTTCCTCGGACCCATCAAAGTCTCCAGTCTGCAGGCATTCCCTACAGAGCTCAGTCCTGCATCCCCACAGTTACAGGGGCCATTCCTTAAAGTGGTCCTCTCTTTCCTGTTGCCATCCTTGTCTTTGTCCCCATCCCCCTTTCCTTCTCCTGCTCCCTGGCCTCTCGGCCTCCATGTTGTTCTTCTTCTCTGGGGGACACTGACTCCCAGCCAGGGGCTCACCCTCTCTAGGGTACCGCAGCGCCCTCATGTACCTTGGCTCTACTTCTGATTGACTTAACATGCTACCGCATGTTATTATATTTTAGCCTTGGGTTTGCTCTTTTTCTGTGATTCAGATAACCCAGTGCCTGGAGAATTTACCCTAGAAGTAGAGCCTCCAAAGGACAGCTGTCATGGTCCTCATCTTCGTTCTTTTGCTTCTGCCACAGGACCTAACTGAAATAGTACACCACGGACACCCCTCACAGCTCCTCATCTTCGTTCTTTTGTTTCTGCCACAGGACCTAACTGAAATAGTACACCATGGACACCCCTCACAGGTCCTCATCTTCGTTCTTTTGTTTCTGCCACAGGACCTAACCGAAATAGTACACCACGGACACCCTTCACAGATGAATGGGAGATTACACAACTTCTAGCTGTAGCAAAAAAGGATTCAAAGGGTGCACAAGGATGCAGGGTGACTTCAAAGTGGCTGTTGCCTTGGCTCTGCTG